GAGGCTGTGGTGAGAGCGTGTGTAGCTTTTGGCGCTGCCACTGGGAAGGTGACGTCCAGCCCGACACTCAAGCCGATGCAGAAGAAATCACCTTACCAGCAGCTGTTGCAGAAGTGGAATCAAGCCCGACACCCGAGCCGGTGCAGATGAAGTCACTTCTTGCCAGTAGCCGTATGTTCACGATCACAGTCTCGTGCTGACTGACTGTTGATCAGCTGTGTTTTATCTTTAATAGGATGTGTGCTTGATGTTGCGTGGTCGCGCAGCTACATGTTGCTGTGTGATGTTGCGTTGTCATGGCACCGAAGGTGCTGTCGGGTGTTGCCATGACTCGTGTTGCTATGACTTGTGTTGTTGGTTGTTTTGATGGCGGGTATTTGTGGGGGCCAAATTCCTCAGAGATATTTGGTCCTCACAAAGTGTAAACGAAAAGAGNCTCCCCCTGCTAACGGCGGAGCTGACTGCGGGCGAGCGGGTGTCGCCCGTACGCGGNTGCGACGGCTGTGCGTGCGGCGACTACCGGTGTGGTAGCCGTAGGCGCCGTCAAGGCGCGCGTTGTACTGACGATGGCGTGCGCGGCGGAAACTGGTGCGGTAGCCGGAGGCGCGTGAGATGGCTTCTGTATGGGCTACGGACGCTTGTTGGCTTGCTTGCGCGTTAGTCCCGTGAACGGAGACGGCGTGTGCCGTGGCAGTGCGTGTCGCGTCGACTGCGGTGTATGCGTTGACCACACGTATGGCTGCAGCACGGCATGCGGCGGCAGTGTGTGTTGATTGCGCGCNCGACTATTTCTCTTATATAGAAGACGCTGCCATAAAAAAAAATTCTCAAAAATCACCGGGCTTTTTTACCAACTTGAGACTTGCACTTCGTTACACTAGAATTAAATGGGCTATAAAACTGCATACCAAAATNAGTCGTTCCAATGCTGCCTAGCGCGTCCAGGCCAAGTATGACATCCAGTACTGCGTGGTGGTATGATTCTCCGATGCGAACTTCAGCCCTTACGGCTTCAAATATCCTGCTGATGGTGCCATTGGCCATGAATACCTCGATATCCACGGTTATCTTCTCCCCGTTCCCAGAGCTTATCATGCGTTCCGCTAAGTTGGCTGACACGAAACTTTTCGAGGCGCCTGTGTCGATGACGGCCTCCGCCAATTNTAGAATTAAATGGGCTATAAAACTGCATACCAAAATTTTTAAAATTCTGATTAAAAAATTTGAAATTTTGGTTAAACTTTGCAGAATTTTTAAAATTTGTATACAAAGTTTTAAATGCGACTTTACATGGTGTTTGTTATATAACACGCTACAATTTTATAAACAAATAATAAGAATTAATTAAACAAAAAAGAAATAGTCAAAACTGGTCAAAAGATCGCACTCCCATTATTTTGTGGATAACAAACAAAACAATAAACGTTACAAATTAACTTTATTTCAGGTACCGTTTTTTTAAGAAAATAAATTACTAATTCATTTACATACATAACAATGTAAAGCATTTAAAATTATTATGTTAACAACATTTCAATAACCTTTAAAGTATTGTGAAAATCGTGTTGATAAATGTTTTGCTTACTTTGTTAGCAGTTCAAAAAAAATTAAAGTAGCCAGCAAAAATGAGCAAATAGTATTTTTTCGTACAATATTCATAATGTTTCTTGTAGAATGAACTTTGTATGTTTTGCTTTATAGAATATTGTACAAAAAAGACTGTATTATGATTTGACATTAGTCGTCAGGCTTTAATTTTAATGTCATCACAGCATTTGTGATTATTTGGATCGCTTTCGCCTGCTTCCTTTCATTCAACTCGCCAA